AGAGGGTTGGGCTTTGGGCACTAGGCTTGGGCTTGGGGCTTATGTTTAGGCTTTGGAATTTGGTATTGGGCTAGGGATTAAGAATGGGATTGAATCTTTTTATAACAAAAAATGCAATCAGTCCTTATTGGTTTTTTTAATATACAAACTGGAACTGTAACCAAACTAAACTGGTCTGGTTCTTGAACTAGAGTTGACGTTTTAGTCAACATGGTTTTTTTCTAGGTTTTTTCGGCTTGGTTTATTGGTTCTTCGGTTCCAATACCCACCCCTACTAATTACTACCTTCAAAATTAAAATTTAAATACATATTCTATTCAAGTGAGAGTTTTTTTAGTATCGCATGACGTGCAATCTATTTGTCTAAAGAAAAAAAAAAAGGGGCTTATAGATTAATAACAAAATGCTAAAACGTAACGGTATATCAACAGTGGATTCTAAATAACTTGTTGGCATATATGTACCTGATAGTTGATTATTGTTTAGATTAATTACTTGCAATGTAGACAAGTTGAAGACAGTCGCGGGTATGGAACCTGAAAATTGATTGCCATGCAAATAGAAGCTTTGAAGTTTGGGGAAGGCCCCAAACCACGATGGAATGGATCCCATAAAGTTGTTGTATCCGAAGCTAACCAACTTCAAGCGACGCAAATAAGACAATTCATAGGGCAAAGTACCATGGAAGCTGTTATTGTTGAAGCTTAGTGCAACAAGGAATGAGAGGTTGCCTAAGTGTGGTGGAATGGTTCCTGTGAAACCCATGTACGAGAGATTCAATGATGCTACTCTGCGGTGGCGAGCACCACAAGTAACGCCAATCCAGTTGCAGACATAGGTGGTGCTTGACCAGTTGACCAAGATGTCGTGAGGGTCACTAGTGATATAGGATCTCAAAGCAAGAAGAGTAGACTGGTCGGTGGTGATGTTGGTTTGTGCTGCACCTGTGCCTACAAAACTGTACTGCAGCAGCAACAACGTCATTGACAAGACGAAACGACTTCTCTCCATGAGCACCGAAAACAGACAAGTATGATTGAATAATTTGTTGCAGTGCCAATTTATGAAGGCAGAACAAGTTGCCATTGCCAAAGAGTGGGGCACATGATTGCCATGGAGGAACAAATTCGCGAGTAGCCAAATGCAACTTGTCCATTCATTGCAACGACCATTATAATAATTCTCATTTCTTATTTGTTTTTTTTTTTGTTGTTGAAGGAAACGAACAGTTAAGTTAAAACATATCTTCAACCAATACGTCATGAATGAGCTGAGGAGGGACCCCAACCAATGTGATCGAATCGGTTAAAGCAAAAGCAAGGTTTGCAATCTTGTTTGCCACACCATTAGAGCATCTCCAACAGCCTCTTTAATACCTTTGGAATTCTAAAATAGGTGAGCTACATCAAAAAAACTCTCTTAAACAGCTTCTTCAACCTTAGTCATTAAAGCTACAACTTTTTTATCTCAGTTCTGGTAAGTTGATTTTGGTTCTTCAAACATTTAATTTTACTTCGAAAAAACAAAACTTACACTGAAAATGTTTAAAACGTGCATTTTTTTTTTCATATAATAAATACATAGACATTTTTCACATGTTTTCATATTTTTCATATATTTTTTTCTATGATATTGCATTAATTGTATTGAAGAGTCTGTTATAGTAAAAACTATTCAAATAACAAATAAAGCTTTTCAAATTACCATATAGATCAACAAACTTCAATTTAAAAAGTTTTATTTGCTACTAGATCCTCTTAGCCTCACAAAATGAAAACTAGTTGCTGAAACAGCCCATTAAAATATTCTCATTTTCTTATTTGTTAAGGTCTGAAAAGATTACCTAATACCACTCACTCACTCACTCACAATTAAGAGACACATAGTCAAATGTATGCTTATATCAGAATTGCACTTCCCTTCCCACTCACGCTTAATTTAGTGTGGTGGAGACATTAAGGATACTAGTACACATTAATTGTGCCCATAATCACATTCGTCATTATGGTTTGTGAGTATTGGTTGGTGGGTTGGTGAAGCTTTTTTTTCTTGTCAATGAATGTGGATTGGTGGTTGACCAGTTGACCAAGCAGAGCAGGGCAAAGTGCACTTGAATGGAGAAGAAATGTAGCAAGGACTTGGCTTGTAATAAAGGAAGAGGTTGCAAAGCGAAACTTGGTAGCGCATGCGTGCGTGCATCCCCTATATTCAAATAGTTTGGTTAGAAAACACATATGGCCTTTTTAGTTGGCCTACAGAAATAGTTGGATATGGCCTAAATAATTAGACATTTATCAACACAACTAATCCGGTTTGGTTTGGATCAACCTTTTCAAGTTACAAATCCAAATCCGAACTGAATCAAACCAGTCAAGTTTGGCTTTTGAACTTATGTTGACTTTTTTGGTCAACTTAGTCTTTTTCCCTCTTTTTCAAGTCGGTTTGACTCGATTTGTCAGTTCTGCAATGCCGATTGAAGACATTTTAGGCTTATTTAGGTGTAAGTATAGCTCTATTACTCTGAGGGCTTGTTTGAGAGACATTTTAGGTGGGTTAAGGTGTAAATATAATTCCATTACTCTATTGTGGAGATATTGAAGATTGAGGATGGGATGAGGCCATTCAGAGTATTATCTAACTACAAAAAAAACTCTAAATTTTGAAAATCAAAGATCTCATTTGATATAGTGTTTGCCACAATTTCACAATCCTTGCCCATTTAACTTTGTGGCCTTAGCATTATTAGTCTACAACAATTTCACTATATATGGATTTATGTAATCTAATCTAGCCAGCCCTATGTACTCGTTCATGACTTTTAGTATAAAATGTAACACTCATAATATTAATTCATACAACAATATTTACAAATATATTCCCTTGGGTATTGGATTTGCTTATTTCACAAATATATCAAAAGAAAGTTAATCTATTTGAGAATCCCAAATCTCCATCCGACTATTTTTTGCTGCCGATCATCTCATTGGGCACATTTTAGACAAAGTCTCTCTCATCAATCTTGTATTTCCAATCTAATCTTTTGGCTGCAGATGTCTCAGGCCGAGCTAACACACTAACATATTTAATAGATGGGTGAAATTAAAAGTCCTTAATCAACCTTTAACTTGAAATTATTATTGAAGAAGCTCTTTACAAACATGAAAACAATTCCTAGCTGACAGCATTAAATATTTAAGCCAAGGAAAAAATTGTGGCCACCGCCACCACCACAACCACCAATAATCCCACTATGTCTTAGCTTACATTTAAGTCATAAGATCTATTAGTTGAAGCGCTGAGCAAGAGGACGGTTTAAGAGCACACCTCCTCCTACAGCAGCATCCTTCAGAAACTTCATCTTGATTTTGTTGAGTGTGGCTACAGCTTCCTTCATACTCATCCTCTCTTCTGGTGATTCTGTACAACAAGCAAGAGCTAATCTCATAATGGATGATAAGCAATCCATCTTCCTCACATGATCATCATCTTCCTGCTCTGTCCCAATCCCAAGCAAATTGGCATCCACAACTTCATCTATCATTGCATCTGTTAACAATAGTGAGTTTGCAATCCATTGCTTTAAATTCATTTCCCCATCAAACATCTCATTTGTTGGCTTCCTTCTTGTGAATGTTTCCATCACTACAATTCCAAAACTGTACACATCCCCTCTTGTTGAAACTATTCCTTCCGTCCCATACTCTGCAATATGAAGTATACTTATGTATGTGTGAATAATATTCATGTGTATGATAAAATGAAAATTATGCATAATTAAGGACAACATGTATAGAATTGAAAGATATTAAATTAGCAAGTACATCACCTAGAGCCATATACCCAATTGTGGCCAGGGTCATGGTTTCGGTCATAGAATCTCCTCCACCCAAGAGTTTTGCAATTCCAAAATCAGCAACATGTGCAACCATATCATCATCTAGTAATATATTGTTTGGCTTCATATCACAGTGTACAACAGGTATTGTATAGCCATGATGTAGGTATTCCAATGCTAGTGCAACATCTATCATTATATTCATCCTCTGTAAGATATTCAAAGAAGAGCTTTGGGAGTACAACCACTTCTCTAGGCTCCCATTAGACATGTAGTTCAGTACCAAGGCTCTGAAATTAAGTTCACTGCAACAGCTCGTGATTTTGATAAGGTTTTGATGACGAATATTGCTTAGCATTTCACATTCTCTATCAAACTCCTGAAAGCATCGTCTAGCTACAAACTGAAAACCTTCACTGCAACATCTATCCCATTTGAAAGTGTCCCTTTATATACTGAGCCAAAATCCCCACTTCCGAGTAAGTTGTTTTCATTAAATCCATTTGTGGCCCTTAGAAGTTCTATGCGTGAAATTCTTCTCCAAAGAAGTTGAGGCAACGAGGTATCGTCTCCTGCAACTTCCACATTTCCTTTCCTACGTAGTAAAAATATAGATACGGAGGCCACTAAGAAAATAACTGATATAATCCCAGGGATGATATATTTTGCTTTCCTCCAATTTGGTTCAAGTGTACCATTTTTGCATGGTGGAAAATGGAGTCGTGGTGCACCACAAAATGCACTGTTTGAGACAAATGATTCAACAGAGAAGTTTTGGAAGGGTCCACCAGTTGGAATTTCTCCTTGGAGCTTGTTGAAAGACAAATCCAGATGCTTGAGAAGTAAGAGAGCTTCTAAAGACTTTGGAATCACTCCAGACAGATTATTTCTGGATAAATCCAAGAGTTGCAGGCTTAGCAAGTGGTGAAATGAAGCTTTGAAGTTATCAATAGGTATTGAAGCTTTGAAGTTTGGGGAAGGACCCAAACCACGATGGAATGATAAAATAAAAAAAGATAAATTCCACATATGTATATACAATGGGCTTTTGCATTATCGACTCTCCACAATCTTCTATTTCTAATATTTTGGTTGCGGATGCCTAAGCAGAAAGGCTATAATGAAGAGTTTAGAGTGAGAAGTTTATTTGAGGGAATCCCACCATCAATTTAGCTCCTCACTCTAAACTCCTCATTATAGAAGCTCCCCAGAGCTCAGACCATGGCCAATTTCAGTTAGTTTCTTGCTTTATTATTTGTGAATGATGCCAATGGGTTCATAGTTCAATGGTAAAATTATTTACATGATTAGCGATTTCACTTTCAAACACCAACGACACCTCACCCTCTCCTTTTCAAAATTTCAAAAACATAATAATAATAATAATAATTTGTGAATGCGACTAATTTCAGTTTCGTGACAAAATATTTTTCAATAAATGTGCATTGGATTTAGCTTTATATTAAATTGAAAAGTAAAAAACTTGTGTATATTGTCTTTCAAGACACTTTTCTGATGCATGATACACAATACTTCCATTCACCTCAACATCTACAAATCCTTATCCACTTTTTTTCTTCTGCTGTTATAAGAAATACAAAAAAAATTATAATTCAAATCATTGAAATTGCAATTTGTCTGTCTTTTAAGCGTCACTACCTTATCTTTTGAAAATTTATCATATTCATTTCAAACCTTTTCTTTTTCTTTCATACTCATATACGGATTTCATGAAAGGTTGAATGATGATGAGATATTAGCCAATGTGATAAACTAAATAATTGTACGAATTTCATATTTAGAGTTAAATTGCATTTATTATTTTTTTTAACATACAAGTTATATATCTGGAAATTTAATTTTCAATTATTCAATTATTTGCCTAGAGTTTGGTGACCAAAATAATTGAATTTAAAAATTATTTTTATGTCTAATGAGGTCTAGTCTAGTGAAAATGACCTTGACTTGCAAGCTAGTGGTCTCAGATTCGAATCCTCATGACACCATTTTAGTGTGTGTGTGTGTGTGTGTGTGTGTGTGTTAGAAATCGTTTAGACTAACGCTTGTATTAAAAAAAAAAAATTATATTTTT